TCCCATTTTAAAGTAATATTTTTGGGTGAGAATTTGAAAATTGGATACACTGTCCTGTGATGAAGTCAAGTAAATTCATTTAACTAGTAATTTTTATACTGAAGAAGAGGTATCTTCTACAAATATCTGCCTTCAAAGATGTTTGCTGATCATAAAAGTCACTGGAAGTTAGAATCCAAATTTAAAAAAAAAAACATTGCTCTAAATAAATCATTTATATAATGGGAATTCCTAGGCTATGATTCATCCCACATAGCAATATAATCTCTGTGTACTAGATTTATAATTACTTGAATACCTAGGTAAAAAAGTTGTCATATTTTATACAATTCAAAAATGCATACAGAGAAAGATCTATGACAAAATAATTTTATTGACATTATTTATGTTATAGATCTATGATGTCCTCCAAAAGTCTTTATGTGATTAGGCTGTAGGCACCATACTATGCTCTCTGGTGGCTTCGTCCACTGAAAAGATGGTGACTGAATGTACTGTTAGGCAGGACCTGGTTGGAAATGACCCATCACTTGTGGGTGTGACCTGGGGGAATGCTAGACCCTTGGTCCTGGCTCTTCCCTTCTTTCTCTGCTTCCTAGCTGTGGCAATGTGGGCAGATTCACTGCACAAAGCCCTTTCATCGTGCCATTCCTGCTTTGGAGCCTGCTAACCATTGACTAAAACTTAAACTATAAGCCAAAATAAAATGCTCCCCCTTTAGATTGCAGATATCAAGTATAATAAATTCCAGGCATAAGATATTTTGAGAAAATCGGTACTGAGAATGGGACCTCTGCTACGTGTACCTGACTGTGTAATTCAGAAGCTGTTGGAATTTGTTTATCGAAGGAATTTGGAGAAGATTAGAGGAGTGGGTTAGAGAAGCCATAGAATTTTGTGAGCAATGTTTCATATGTGACACTGGTCAGAGCTCAAAAGATAAGGACGGTAAGAACCAGAATCAAGTGGTTCCAGCTGGGAACAGGCTCCACTGGCGGTTAGATCATAGGCTGTGTATAGTACACTTTGCCAGAAATTTTTCTATATGTTTCCCTAGGGCTTTGGGATGGCAGACTAATCTAACAGAAAAAATTCAGACAGCCAAACACTCAGGCTGTAACATAGGTACTGCTGGCTGATTTTAGTCAGACCTACAGTAACAATCAGGAACAAGTGGCAGAACTGAATGATTTGAAAAGTTGGAAGTTTTAACAGAAGGGAAGTACCTGCAAAGTTGGGGCAAAGGTTGCTGAAAACATTAGCATTAAAAGGAGGCCAAGTGCCTTGTACAGGATCAAAAAGAAAGATACCTTGAGAGTATCTCAGAAATCAGCAATGCCCCACCCACAGTAGGCTCATATTTACAAAAATAGGAGCATTTCATTTGAGAAATGAACCCCAGGGTAGCCTGCTCATTCAGAGCCATAGAGTGAAGTGTATTCCCAAGTTTAGCCATGCAGGCAGTCAGAAGCTGCTGCAACCATGGTCCACGGGGGTCTGGCTGCTGCTTGAGCTGGCAACACACCCTGGCATCCACATGGCACTGGGTTAGAGCATGCAGAATGCAAGAGTCACTGGGTCATGGAGGCTCCCACCTAGATTTCAAAGGAAGACCGTAGAGGCCAGGCAGTGTACCCCGAGAGAATGATGCCTGAAGCTGTGAGAGTAAAGTCATATGTACATTACAGACCTGAGCAGTTGGAGATACCAGGAACATAAATCATCTGCTGGAAGCCAAAGGCAGTGAGCAGATCCAGTTAAGAGAAAGTCCACATAGGCTACAACCAGCAATGCTGTAGGAGCGTGGCCTTTCAACCCCTTTGACATTCGTGTCTTGCCACCACCTGCCGTGAGTGCTGGAATTAGAGCTACAAGATTTTTTGTTTGACTTGTGAGATTCAGTCATGTTGTGGTCTCCTTCTTTTTAAAATCGTATTTCTGGTTTTTTGGAAGGAGGATATTTACCCTGTGTCATTGTATGTTGGATATATAAAACCTTCTTTTTGATTTTTATAGAGAGTCAGAGCTAAGAGTCTGCCTTGAGTCTCAGACTTGGACCTTTGCACTTGGACTTTTCAGCAGTGCTAAAACTACCAGAACTTTGGCAGCCCTTCAATGTGAACTAAACACCTTTTGCAGAATGAGATGGACATGAGCTTTGGGGGACAAAAGGTAGAATATTATGGTTTAGATAAAAAAAAAATCCTTCAAAGCCTCATGTGTTTGGGAATTGATTAAATTATGGGGGTGCTATCCTCATCAGTAGATTCATCCATTGATAAGCTCATGGCTGAATATGCTCTTAGGAGTAGGACCTGGTCACACAAGGTGGGTCACGACCTAGAAGAATGTGTTCTAGCGCTGAGTACCTTCTTTTTCTTTCAGCTTCCTGGATGACTTATGAACAGCTTTCTTCTTCCCATTCCTTCCAGCATGCTGTTTCTGTGTCAAAGCCTGGTGCCCACAAACTGACACTTCTGCATCCACGAGCCTCCCCTCAGATATTCTTACTATCTCCCAGCAATAGGGACATGACTAATATAGTTTCTATTACACACTCTGCATACAGTACCTTGTCTCCTTTGATTGATAGGCCTTGTAGTCCTTGGGGGCCAATTGGTCCTTCAGAACCCTTCTCACCCTGAAAATGCATGAGAGGGGTATCAGTATATTAATAAAAATAAGGATTTTTAATTAGTTTATATTATGATTACTGTGAATTGTGCTTCAAAATTATTTTTAAAGAAAGCACCCAAATTCATTGCTCATTACAAATGAATAGTCTTGACTGTAATATTTGCATCTTACAAACAAAAAAAGTCATAATATTTTAATAGGAAGGAGTCTGTCCAAGCAGAACACATTCATAGCATCACTGAAGCTGGAAAAGGGATCAATTCCCAGTTTCAACAGAAATATCTGAAATTATGGTCCTAATAAATTAACCATGCAGTGCAAATAACTACACCAAGTTTCCTCTTCCTCTATATTGCTGAAATTGGATCCATCACACAAAATTTATCTTTTACGTTGCATGTGAACTAATGTTTGCTGGCACTGAACTATGTTCTACATCTTTTGTATCTAAAATTATAAACATTCTGCATTTAAGTGTAGAAGGATTCATTTAAAATCATATACATGCTTCTTTAATCCTATGGCATATATTCATGGCTTAATTGTTCTTAAAGTAATGTTTATGAAGTCATAACATTTTGTGCATTTGTATGAAAATATTAGTTGAACAAATGGCAAAAAATTATTATAACAATGAGTAACATCAAATAATGTTTTCAAGAAACCTAAAAATATGATAATGTCTCCATATATCTATAATTTTACTTACTCATCTCCCATTTCATTGTAAATTAGCCACATATAAATCCGATTTATTTAAACTACACACAAAGAAATTTTCTATGTGCCAAAAAAGTTCAAGAAACTATATCTTATAAAACACTCTGAAATGAAATGCAAAATTGTCGACCTCTGTTTTCTAAGAGCAGGACTTTGGTTACTCAGTGGCATTAGTAATGCCGTGATTATCCAATATGCTTTTCTATTATTGTGATAGATTTTAATTTGTTAACAAAGACCTTTTATAAAATTCAGATCAAGTTAGTACAAATTTTTTATTTTAGATAACTGTTCTCCCTCTAATAAAGTTGAAGTTTTTCATAGCTAAGTAGACATTGACCATAGAGGAAGAGTTTGAGACTGAGATGCAATTTTACAGCACAGGGCTGTATTGAAAAGGTGAGATGACAGACAGTGACCTGCCAGAATGACTGATACGGAAGGTCTTAGACACTCAGAAAGGAGCTTGTGATTCTCTGGAGAGTATGCACCTGTGCATGGGTGTGTGTGTTTATGAAAAAGTGTGTACCAAAAAAAATAATTCCAAAATGAAAACATCTTTACTTATTCTAAAATTTTGTTGCTATTACCCAAAGTATTTTGGAAAACCATTTCCTATGTGGTCCTTGGTAAGTTTTGGTTAAACTGCCTAAACTAAGGGCAAGAAACCACAGGCTGGTTGTTGTAAACACGGTTCTCTTGGAGAAGCTACATTCATTCACTCACGCCTTGGTTATAGCTCCTTTCAAGCTACCCCAGTGGAGTCCTTACAACCAACAGCTTATGGTCTAGAACACCCGAAATATTTGCTGTCTGACCCTTTGCCAGAAAAAGTTGGCCGCGCCCTGGCGGAGAGGAACTTGAGTTTCCAGTCATGTGTGGGAAGCAGCAAGATGTTTTGAATCTTCAAATTTAAAGGGCTTTCTTAATGTTTTGTTTTTGTGGTAAAGTTACTTTTCTTATTACATCTATGGCAGCAGTATGACAAACTCTTGAATTAGACTTTTTTCTTGTCTGGGCTTCATAAAAAAGTGAGAAAGGTATTGCCATCATTATGTCACATGACAACTTCTGGGCATAAAGATGCTATTTACAATTGCAGCTTTCAGAACTACAAACTACCTTACGAGCTTTCTCTATGTAATTTCATATGTGATTGTTACATGAAATGGAAGTGCACTGATTTCTTATTTTATAATTATAATTCACCAGAAGGAGAAGTTTACATATTACTTCACTTAACAGGATACAAATGACCAGGAAAATACTTGATATATGATAATGGACATTTTAAAACTTTTGTGATTCATGATCAGGCAAGACAAAGCACATTCTGCAACTTGGGAAGGTAGTCTTACCTTTGGTCCTGGGACGCCTTCTCCAGGTAAGCCCCTCTCTCCTGGTGCTCCATCAGGACCACGGGGACCCTGGTTATGGAAGGAGGGAATAAGGGGCAGAAGGGGAAAGAAAAAGAAATAGAGGAGGAGAAATGGAATGAAGGACAGAGAAGAGAATGGCTATGTTTTAGAGCACATGGACGTGGTAATGAATAGTGCTATTAAGTTTTCAGTGAATAATCCTTCTAGTGAGGTTTACTTGGGTCTGTGGAATGGTAGAACTGTGAAAAATATTCCCATTGTATTAAAGATTTGTTCCACTTGATTGGCATAAGAGCCTCTATTCTAGTGTCCTCAAATTAGAACAAATTGTACATTAAGCAATGTTTCAGGATATGGATTAGGAAATAAATCCTACAAGAAAAGGATAAAAATCCACAACTGTGAGATCTTCAGAAAGATACAGAATGATTTAACAATCTGATTAAGCATCAGGGGAGCCTTGGCAAGAAATCACTCACAACTGTTGCAAAGCATTGAACATTGTTTATATGTATTTTAATTTCAGCACTGATAAATGTAAATTATCAGTGAACTGGTTGAACCCACTCATAATTTTCTATCTTTTTTTTTTTTTTTTGTACAGGGTCTTACTGTGCAGCTCAGACTCCTAGTGATCCTCCTGTCTCGGCCTCCCCAGCACTGGGATTGCAGGTGTGCACCATCATGCCCAGTCTCAGTGGCCAGCTCATTGCACCCAGAGGTGGGGCCGACAGGGCATGTGGTACCGGAGATTGAACCCCAGCTCCTGGGCTTGCCTAAGCAGGTTCTTAGTCTGCTGAGCTATCTCGTTGACCCTATAAATTGCTATCTTAATGGATCATTGGAAGGAAACAGGATTTTCAATCTCAGTGTCTAAAGTTAAGAAGCCCATGTAAGTATTGCATCAAAAGGCACTAGGAAAGGAGATGGTTTCTTACACAGCTCAGCAGAACAGCACTGTCCCGGGCTTTATAGTAGACTGACAGAAAACAAGCCAGTTGAAAAATAAATACAGCAGTGAGGTCTTCGTTTAAGCCAGGAATTTCTTAAAACTACAAATTTCCTTTGTCTCCTTCCCCAGAAGCCAAAATAAGGTCAGAAAGTTATTAACAAGAGTCTTAGCAGCACAAACTTGAGCCTTTTCTGTATTAAACCTGAGGAAAAATTAGGGTGCATGGTCCAAGGAAACCAACTTATGAGAGAACAAAGCTGAGTTCCCACAGCCATGGAGGCCAGCACCCTTCGGGCCCTAGGTGACTTTTGGGCCTGAGATGAGTGGTCCAGGGTCACTTGAGAGGTCCTTTCAAGAGCCCACTAGTAGGAGGACACAGCACTATGCCCATCAGCAATTGCTCATTTCTAGATTAGGACATAAGAAAGAAAATTAACTATATCCTAGGGTTTATTGTTGCCTTTCCCTAATCTTACATATTTAAGAAGACAATTCATCTTTAAAATCTGTGACTACACTACTTTGTAAAGACTTTAATTAAAAGGAAACCCTGACATCTAATTTAATTTAAATTGCAATACTCATGGGAAAGCTAGCTTTTAACACTCTACAACCTTAATCAGAGCTCTAATATACACGACAGTTTATTCAAATGGCATAACAATTAGCTGAGGAAAAATAAAAATGAGTATGAGAACTAGATCACAAACCAAACTGAAAGGTGCTGAGTTAACACCACACTCTTGGAGTGGGCTGGCCAAATAGCTCAGCAGATTAAAGCGCCTGCTCAGGCAGACACAGGGGTTGGGAGTTTAATCCCCAGGCCTGCAGTGCCGGTTGAGACTGGAATTAAGACTGGGCGTGGTGGTATGTGCCTGTAATCCCAGCACTTGGGAGGCTATAAACAGGAGGATTAGTACGAGTCCGATCTATGCAGTGAGACCCTGTAGACCCTGCACTAAATACAAAAAAGAAACAAAAAAAATAAATAAATAAATAAGAAGAAGAAGACCCACAAGTTCTGCTTCTAAGAGCCCCACAGATAAAAGAACACAATTTACATTAAACCCAAAGAGCGGGGCTGGGGTGAGGCTCAGTGGTACAACACTTGCTTAGCATGCACGAGGTCTTGGGTTGGTTCTCCAGCATTGCCAAAAACCAAAAACAAGGAAAAAAAAAAAAAACAGGAAAAAGTAGGGAGTATTTTTTTCTAAATCTCACTAATTCTTTTCAATCATTCAACAAACACCGAATAAGTAAAAGGAACCCTGCTAGCAAATAAACCTGTTATAGGTAGATTTTAGTGTCTTCTGGACTGATGCCCAGGCCCCAGGCGTGCTGTGATGAACACTGTGACACTGAACAAGTAATTCTTTCTCACTGGAGCTCACCTTGGCCCTCAGAATGGTGACAATGTTAATATCTACCTCAACCCCAAGTGTCAATGTGAGGATTAAACCAGAGAGATTTCTTTCACATTAAGAACTCAATAAACAGCTGCTGTGATTGTCAAAACTGTTTGATGTGAGTCCCCCAATTGCCACAAATGTCCCCACTGCTTGCCAACAGGAAGCCTCTGAGGGAAGGTTTGCCATGAAGCCGCTTGGACAGAGGAAAAGCACACACTTCAGTCCTCCCGCACTGCGACCCTGGAGTCCCTCAGCCAGCGGCAGGCACAGAGGTGAAATTTTATACATCAGCGGTCCAAAGCCTAATTATTCTGAATCGGCAGAGTAATGAAGGCTGTGCGCAGCAGTAACTGCTCATGTCTTCAGCTATGCTTCAGGATGGAAGATGATTATTAACTAGTGAAGAGAAACAGCACACACCTGGGTTAGATGAGCCATGCATTTAACTTACGAGGGAGCACTGAAGGACCATTTTTAAACATTGTAATTGATGGATAACAATTGTATGTCATTTTGAAAAGACAGAACTGCTTCTATAAAAATCTCAATGTCCTTTTCAAAGCCTTACAGACCAATTACAACTAGACATACTTATTGGGCCACTAACAAACACCCGCAATAAAAAAATTAAAAAAAAAAAATCTAACAGGAAGCTAATTATCAGTTAACATAGTCTAATCACTGAAATGCTTTACTGAGACATTAACAGTGAGATAAAATGAGATTGCTCATTAAATTTTTCTTAATACTTTCCTTAATAAAATCAATAGTGCTAATAATAAAGTGACTTCAATATACTCTGCAAGTATTAAAGATAAATGTACTAAATAATAATAAAATGTGGCCATTATTTTGAAACAGTGCCATCTATTTTATTCCTAACCTCAAAGTAATTAGAGTTCTATGTCAGGAGATATATTTAATGAAAGTATTTTGAATACTCTTGCACACGAAGCAGATTACCTTGACAGCCTCGGCCCATTACTTTTCCTGAGTCAGCTACCTTTGCCTTATCAGCATAAAACTAGTAGTAATCTCATAAAGCGGAAAGCTGACACTTCAGAGTGAGGTACAGGAACTAAAAGATTCGTTTAATCAGTCAGTAGATTTACATAAGCATGATATTGGGGGAAAAGACAGTAGCAGATCTGCACAGCGAAGCTAACAACTAGCAGACTAAAGAGATAATCAAGAAAATGGAGGCATTTGCCAGCTATTCTTCTGAAGGAGGACTAATTCCTGGAGTACATATAGAACTAAAGAATATTACAGGTCCCCAAAAGTAAAAGACCCAAGCCAAAAATGAGCAACGAAATGAACAGGAGACAGCAACTGAGACTAGGCGTGGTGATGCACGCCTGTAATCCCAGCTCTTGGGAGGCTGTAAACGGGGATCACTATGAGTCCGGACTAGTAGTGAGACCCTGAACACCCTGTAGACCCTTCCCTAAAATACAAAAAAAAAAAAAAAGAAAAAGAAAAAAATGAAATATTCACCAACCTCTCGGTCGCAAATATTTTTCCTTTATCTTACTTTTAAAGTTCCATTCTTTTCACTTTTACATTTCAATGACTATGGTCCATTTGGGGTTAGTTTTTTTATAAGGCAGAAAATTGTTATGGTTTGTGTCTAGGTGTCCCCCCAAAGCCTCATGCCTTCATGGGGAGGCTTCTGGAGGTTGATTATTCTGGGTGTGGATGCTGTATCTGCCTTGGGCCAAGTAATTTGCATAATAATGTAAGGTGGGAAGAGAAGCTAGCTGCTTGGGCTGCTGCTACTCCTCATTTTGTGTTTTGCTTTTTGTTGCGGCCATGAAAAGTTACTTTCTTCTATATGCTGCCCTGGGTCCAGCTGAATATGGACTGAAACCTCCAGTAACCATGAGCTAAATAAACCCTTCCTTCCTTCATTTTGAGTGTCAGGTATTTGTCCCAGCAATGAGAGAAGAGTAACTAAGACAGACATTTAGGTTAAAGTTTATTTGTTGCAGCTGCTCATGGCTATCGAAATATTCCAACACCATTTCCTGCAAAGACTTCACTTCTCCACTCTTGGATCACTTTGCAGCTTTATCGAAAATCAATTGGCTAGGGCCACTGAGATAACTCAGCAGACTAAGTGCCCTCTAGGTCAAACACAGGGACTGGAGTTCGATCCTCAGCACTATATGCCGCGGCCCCACCTCCCAGGTGCACTGGACCAAGTCTAGGAGTGGTGGCGCACACCTATAATCCCAGTGCTGGGGAGGCTGTAAAACAGGAGGATCGCTATGAGTCTGATCTACATAGTGAGACCCTGTACAAACACACACAGAGACACACACAAAATCAGTTGGCTATACTTATGCCATCATGTATGTTTTCTATGCTGTTCCTCTGATCATGTATCTATGATCTGCCAGCACCACATAGTCTTAGTTACTGTAGCTAATTAGCCAAGGTGAGGTACTGTGAGTTATCCAAAATGTGTGCTTCCTTTTCTAAATTGTACTACTTGTTCCAGCTCCTTTGTCTTATTTTAAAGACTATCATGTCCATATCTACAAAAATAACTTCCTGGCACACTAAAGGCTTACATTAAACCTTTAAATAATTTATGAAAGATTGACAAGTTTATGAGGTTGAATCTTTCAATGATGCATATGGTATAGTCATTCAACTTATTAAATATTCTTTAATTGCTTTCATCAGTGTTTTGGAGTTTTATACACTTCTACATATGTTTGTCAGAGTTATATCTAACTATTTTTACAATTATAAATAACACTATATTTTTAAGTTTACTTTCTATATAGTCACCACAACTATAAAAAATAAAATAGATGTTTTAGTCTGTGATTCTGCTGAATTCACGTGTTAATTCCAGGAGGTTTGTGGAGATTTCTTCAGATTTTTCTATGCAGAAATTCTGTTACATGCAAGTAGCAACTATTTTATTTTCGACTTTCTTATTTCAATGCCTTTTATTTTCTTCCGTGTGTGTGTCCTGGCTAGACCCACTATTACCACACTGAGGACATCTGGTGGCTTACTTCTGATCTTAGTAGGAAGCATCTGTTCTCTTACCATTTGGATTTGTGTGGAAGTGGAGGAAGCTTCACTCTGTTCTCAACTTCAGGAGGGGTTTATTGGGGCTTTTGTTAGAATTTATGAGGGTTTTGAGCTCTGTGAAATGTTTTTCTATGTCTTTGGGTACGATCATGGTATCATTGCATATGATACATTGCACTGATTTTTAATGATTAAACCGGCTCTGTGTCCATGGACTATAAACTACATGGTCATGCTACCTAATTATCTTTTCCTATTGCATAATTCTATTTAACAGTCCTTTTTAAAGGTGTTTTGAGTGTATATTCATGAGTGATTTTGATCTGTAGTTTTCCTCATATAAGGTTATTATTTTGGTATTGAGAAGCCAATCTCATAAACTGGTAAGTGTTCTTTTCTCTTCCACTGTCTGAAAGAGTTTATGGAGATTTTATTTTATTCCTAATAGTTTTTTAAAATTGTTTTGAGACAGTATCTCACTATGTAGCCCAAACTGGCCCCAAACTCACAGCAACCCTCCTGCGTCGGCTTCCCAAGTGCTGGGCTTGTAGGTATGTGCCGCTGTGCCAGTATCCTTTAGTGTTTTATGTTTTTCAAATAAAATCTAAGTCAAAGGGAGCAAAACTCCTAGGTAAATTTGCTTTCTTGTTGAAGTTTTACTAAATCTTTCCCTATATTTTTCAACTTAAGGTATATAATTACTTTAAAATTAAAATATTCTGAAAACTAGAAAATGCAAATAATAGCAAAGCACAGTTACTTGAACAAAATATCTATCAATTTGTACTAAAGAATAAAGAGTTACACTTACTTCCCTGAAATTTTTAGAACTCCAGTTCAGTATTTCCAACTCCAAAAATAACTAAAATAGTAAAGTTAATAATATTTTTTATTTTACAGATGTTGTAATTTGTAACTGTGGTGAATTAAATGTATCTCCAAGTTCTTTGAGTCTTCATTGGGAGGTGGAATTTTTTGTTCTTCTGCTTCAATCTGAGCTGGTCTTATGCTTGTTTTAGCCAGCTATATCACAGAAATGATGCCATGCAGTTTCTGATGCTGAGTTTTACTTGTCAAGTGATTTCTTCCTGTTGGAACGCAACTGCTTAGATTCCAGCCGCCATCTTGTGAGGAAGCCAGGACAACCACGTGGAAGGCCCATATGCAGAGAACAGAGGTTCTGGGCAGCCATAGCTCAGCTCCCAGCCAATACCCAGCAGCAAACTGTCAACCGTGTTTTTTTATTTTTTTTTATTAAGAAATAAATATAAATGAGACAGTTTCACAGCTGATTAATAGGACAGTTTTGATAATAATACATTGTACATTGTTATCTTCTTAGTGGTTATCCATAGTATAAGAAACAGACAGGATATTCTCTCCAAACACTGTTAGTACATCTCCTTCTTCTCATTGAATTCAGCAAAAGTAGCTGTAAATTTATCCTAACTATTTTGTATAGATAAATACAAAATGATCTTTCCTTTGTATCCTTTTATTTTTTGGTCCTGTCAGAGGTGAATATTATATTGGCATCTAAATACTATAGGTGTTTGAATTCAACTAAACAATCTAACACTGTCTAG